TAAAATTCAAGTTAATATTGAACATAATAGTAGGGGTGGGAAAAACCGAACCGAAACCCGGAAACCGACCCTGGACCGACCCGAATTATAATCCCGATCCAGGTTTTTTCTTTTTAACCGGCCCGAATTAAAAAAAACCCGGACTGAGCCCGAAATTCCGGGCTCATTAACGGGCATTAAAATCTATAACCCGACCCGGACCGATAAAAACCCGAAACAATTAGCTTCAATATAAAATTAATATAATATATGAATATGGATTTATAAATATTTCCTAATATATGACAATAATCATGGTAAATAAAAAAATCATTTAGTGACTACAAATATGTTCAATTTGTTTAGCGTAATGACCATGAAAATATATTTATAGCAACTTTGGTCACATTTTTATCTATAAATTTTATTTCGTAATATTTTTAAGAAACCTATATTATTTATTTATATGCATCTTAAATAAAATATTAAGATAATTATTCTCTTTGGATTTGAATTGTTGGTGATTTTGGAGACTAATATTTGTGTTATAATATTTTTTATTTTTGATTAATTATATTTGAAAATAGGTGTTAAAATATAAAAGAACAATGAGATAGTTCACATTCGGGCTTTAACCGGCCCAACCCGAACCCGGACCGAACCCGGGCTACCAAAAACCTGACTCGGACCGAATATAATGAGCTTTGTTCCGGTTCCTATTTTTCATAACCCGAGACCTTCCGGGTAATTTTCGGGTTTAGCAAAAACCCAACCCAGACCGGACCGATCCCACCCCTACATAATAGTAATAGTAAGAACAAAAGTATTCATTAATAAAACACGGAGTACATCTCAGGTCCAAATTGATATTTCTTTGGAAACATATTTCCTACACTCATGTACATGTTTACAAATTTAAGTTAAAAGTTAATTTAATTTTGACTTAACGACTTTAAACCAACAATCTAAAAAATAATACTCCGTAACTAATAACATATATACCAATTTATTAAATATAAATAGTTAAATTAATTCATCAAACAATTACACAAAATAAAAAATAACAACCTGATTTCTTAAATTTCATCATAGATTAGTAGGCCTAATGGCCCTAATAAACGATTAAAATCAGCAACTAAATCACAATATCACATAATCATGAAAAAGATTAATAAATAAAAATCCAAACATATTAAGAAAATAAATGAAATATCATTTATAAATGAAAATAGATGAACTTGCTTCAGTTTCACAGCTCACTGAAGGCGTCGGGAGTCACAGCTTCAGGCCTTCAGCAACAGTGAAGCTGGCGTGCTGCGGTGGCGGCTGGAGGCCCTAGACAAAGTCACGGAGGTCAGCTTGGCCGGTTGGCCCTGGTGCGAAGCGTGCGGACTGCGGTCGAGTGCTTTGCTGCTTACTTCAGACCTCCCTGTTCCTTAACTTTTTTCGACTTGGGCTTCTCTGCCTAATAGTATTACTAATTTCTTTTGGACCTTCCATTTTATTTGAGGCCTTGCACGATTGGACTACTTGCCTGTCCATTGGGCCGGCCATGAAGTAGATAGTGTCGGCGTGTAGCTAACCCTACTTAAACTCGCAAAAATTAATGAAAGGAAAAACTATCAATTTTTTCTATCTTTGTATTATCACGAAAACATCAAATTAAGTCATCATACTTTAAAAAAATCAATCAAATCCGCGAACTTTTAAAAATGTTCATTTCAGACCATTAGCAGGTCATCTGCCACGTCAACAAGTCACCTGCTGATGTACTACAAACGTGGCAGCCCAGTCACCAGGGACTTTGCTACCGTGGTGCACATGTGGAAGCCCGACTAGTCATGATCTGATGATGCGACACACACATGGACTGCCACGTGTGCGCCACATCATAGGGTGACATGCTGACGTGACAGATAACTTGGTAATTAACTCAATTGAATATTTTTTCAAAGTTCGAGAATTTGATTGATTTTTTTTAAAATACGAGGACCTAATTGACATTTCGTGATAGTACAAGGAGAAAAATGATTGTTTTTCCCTTAATGAAATAATTAACATTTATTTTCAATGACATAATTCATATTAATATAATAATATGTTAAGAAATTCCGTATGAGCAAACAAAATGTTAAGAAAATCAAAATGGACATACCTATCTTCGCTTTCACAAATGAAATCACACAATTAGTTTACCTATTTGATGAAAAGATTTTGTGAAATGTGAATTTGTTTGATTTTTTGAATAGCAAAGTCCCTGGTGACTGGGCTGCCACGTTTGTACTACATCAGCAGGTGACTTGTTGACGTGGCAGATGACCTGCTAATGGTCTGAATTGAACATTTTTAAAAGTTCGCGGATTTGATTGATTTTTTTAAAGTATGATGACTTAATTTGACGTTTTCGTGATAATACAAAGATAGAAAAAATTGATAGTTTTTCCTTTCATTAATTTTTGCGAGTTTAAGTAGGGTTAGCTACACGCCGACACTATCTACTTCATGGCCGGCCCAATGGACGGGCAAACATAATTGTTAATGGATGTGCATTTTTGTCTTTTCATACGGGGTAAGAGTGCAAAAACAAATTTTAAAAAACAGGGTGCAAAGTCCAATTTGAACAATAAAATGAGGTGCAAACTCAAGTTATCCCTAAGTTAAGAGCATTGAACCTTCTCCTTAAACCATGAGACAAAGACTCGATAGTGTTCTATTTCACAACCATCAAAGTTTGATTGCAACTCCAACATGTGCTGCCTATTTTCATTTATGAACAAACAATAAGATATTTGGTTTTCAACACCTTGAACATAACTAAGAAAATTCAACTGAATGCTTACAGTATGTAAGGTAAAACTTCGGGCATATTAAACAGAATGGTTCGATGTGCTTGCTCGAGAAGAGAACAGTCCACTATTTTAGTCTCCCACGTCTTAGGGGCCTTTCAATTGGGTCGGTATTGTCACAATCCATAGGTAATCCAATGGACTGGTGATTTGCAAGATATTTAGCGCAAAACTCAAGCACTTCTTCAGTTGCATAACATTCCGCCATACATCCCTCGGGATGGTAATGAGTGCGGACAAAATTCACTTGAAAGTGCCAACCTAAGATTCCTAGGATCTTCACTAAAATCAGGCCATATTTTATCAATGCGTTGCCAAGCTTGAGCATCGGCAGGATGACGCAATTTCCCATCTCTAATGTGATGATTTGCATGCCATGTCAAGTGCTCAGCAGTTTGGGGTGATTGAAACATACGCTTGAATCGAGGAATTGAAGGAAAATATCACTAACACTTTCTCAGGAATTCTATTGTTAGCTATTATGACTCCATTTTTTCCACCCGCTCACCACATTTGGACAGATTTCAAGGTCACTATGTTGCTTATGAAAAAGGATGCAGTCATTACGACAATCATGTATTTTTTGATAATCCAATCCTAAGACCTTCATTATTTTCTTAGCTTCATACATCGACTTAGGAATAGTCAGCAGGTAATATGTTCGAAAGAGCTTCTAATAAAGCTGTGAACCCATGACCAGACCATTCATATTTCCCTTTAATATTGTAGAACAACATTAACCCCGATAGCCTAGTATAATTTGACCCTTGGTACAATGGCTTTTCTGCATCTTCAACTACTTCCTTAAAATCATTTGGGTTACCCTCTAGTTGTTCATAGATATCACCTAACATCTCGTCAACTTTATTTTGATCATGAAATGTTGACTATGATGGAGTAAAGTTAGGGGGGTTTTCAGTCTCTCCATGCCTACTCCAAATAAGGTAAGTTCAAGAAACCTACTTTCAACAAATGCACTTTAAATTTTTCAAGAGTACAAAATTCCATGTTGCAACAATCTCTACACGGACAACTGAATGATCTACGATTTTCTGAGTTAAAAATAACAAATTGTATGAACTCATCAACTCCATTTGTGTATGCTTCACATTGTCTGTTACCTTCCTTTATACATGACCTATTCATCTCTAGATTCCTGATAATTATTATATGTCAACAACAAATTTATACTGATTCAAAGAACATAAGCATGCACTAACAATTCAAAAATAACACTTTAATTAGAAAAATTTGAGTGCTCCAGTCATCATAAATTCACATATAATATTGTAGTCATTACAATTTGTCATTGTTAACAGTGTACTAATCAAGCCATGTTAAGAAATTATTAGTAAGTCAAACAAGGAGCATTAATCATCTAGTCATCACAAACAATGAAAACTCACCAAGCAAACTTATAAAACATCTGCAATGTTCATATCAAGCTTAGTTTTTTTTTTTATTAAAAGCACAAATTATGATAAAATCAATAATAACTATAAGCGGAATGTAGCTTTTGAGTTCAATTGCAGCGACAGAAGGAACATACCAAAAATTGTTTCATAAAAACATATGATAGTTAATGGGGACAATCTGCATGTTGGCATCATTTATCCAAGACTTATCCATTTGAATACTAATACCTAGTTTAAAGTATCAACAAAACCTCAAAATAGTACAGAGTATTCATAATAAACAAAACATGAAAACTAGCTCATAAATATTTTAATTTGGAGTTCTACGTTTCAGTTTAATGATATAGGAACTAAACATATATAAATCCTCAAAAACTGAAGCTCACAGTTGATACAAGAAAAGTAGTACCAACTTTGTAGTAATTTTGACTCTCAAACTATGCAAACGTAGATATATGCGCAGAATCTCAATAAATAGATTATTTTAATTAAGCTTTAAGTTATATTAAGGATGTAATAAAACATATCAACGGAGTGGCTGTTATTCCGATTTTCAAGAGAGACTGCACTTTACAATTAAAGATAAAAAAGTAATGTGGTTGTTGTTGTGACTCAAGATATAAAGGGTACTCTCATTCACATATAAGGATCTATATATACAAGAGGGGATCTAGGGTCACCAATGAGATGGGCCAATACATATGGGCCAAGGGGTTAATGGACATCCATAATCACATAACACCCCCCCTTGGATGTACATTACTAAACAAATACATTACATATAAAAATATACATTACTCTCTTTATACACTTTGGTAATGCTGCCTCGATAAAAACCTTGTTGAGGAAATTAAAACCCAGTGGGAAAAAACCTTGGACAAGGGCAAAAGAGTGCAACACGAATATACTCCCCCTGTTGATTGCATCACTTCGGGTCTTCTTGTTGAATCCAATCCAATCCAATGCAATCCAATCTGGTTGCTAACTTCTCGAATGAAATATCATACTCCCTCCGTCCCTAATAAAACTTCCAAATAGGTTTGGCACACAATTTAAGATAGTGGGTATTGTGTGGTGGAGAGTTGTGCAGAGGAGAGAGAAACGTGTAAGAATTGTTTTGAACCACAAATTCTGGCCAAAAAGGGAAAGTGGAAGTTTTAATTGGGACGAACAAAAAAGGAAAGTTGGAAGTTTATTTAGGGACGAAGGGAGTACTATGTAAAACGGTGTGTTGTAAAACCCTTTTTGTAAAACGTTAATCACCTTGTTGGAAAAACCCTACGGGGAAAAATCGATCAAGGAAAATAGTACATAATATATGTAAAACGGTGTGTTGTATTGATCGTCTCATTAAAAACCTTTAACTAAGAATTGTGATCTTCAAGTTCAATTATTAACTCAAGGGCAGTACCGGTATAAGGCGTATTGCTCTATACAGAAATGAATAGAAGCTTAGAGTTTCCTTCGAAATATGTCGTGTGCAGCTGACATTTACTTGGAATTGTGACCATGTAGCACACATTTACCATGGTAGAGAAGAATACTTGAACAGAAGAATCAATGATCACACATCTACTCAAGACCTAAAGAGACAAATGAGTGTACATATAGTTTTTACTTTCTAGAGCATTGAACACAGCTTACAAAAAACATCAATCAATGATCACGCATCTACTCAAAACCTATGTAACCCATGTAAAAAAATATAGCAGAGTTATATTGGTTGTTGAATTTGAATATCATCATATAACTCTTTATATTGGAGATGGTACCTTCAATAAAGATTATTGTTTTTGCTTGTTTGATTTCACTTTTCTGGTAGATTGCCACCCTTTAGTAGTTTTACAGGAGGGACTTATAACGTTGTTGTTGGGATATATTATCCCGGCCTATTACTGTTCATGAGTCCAAGGCTTTACGTAGTACGGAGCCCGAGCAGCTAGGCCCATTTCGGCCCATCCGGCCCACTTTAGCCATTTGGGCCCACTCCGGCCCATGCGGCCCATTAGGGTGGAGAGCATCCCCTTCCCCTATTCTCTATAAATATGGGAGTTTCCCTCCATATTAGGGATCCTTTTTCTTCTTCCTTTAGCTCTCTAGATTAGATAATACTCCATTAATGGGAGCTCAAATTGTACTATGTAATGGTGAGGAGAATCCTAATGAGAATGAGAGGGCTTGGACATTAGCCTAAAAAGTCCCGTGGTTTTCTCCCTTTCCGGGTTTCCACGTAAAAATAGCTTGTTCATACACATTTATACATATATTTACTATATCGTGTTGGATTAAACTCAACACTGGCGCCGTCTGTGGGAATCTGTCCAAAAAGATTCATGTGTTCTACTGTTCTTGGGTTTCTAAAAAAAAAAACCATACGGATGAACTGGATTCCAGAAAAGAAAAAAGGAAAGAAATGGCTCTGAGGGAAGAAGAAACGAAGAAGGTACAGAAATTGGGAAGCCAAATCTGGATTTTTGTTTCCAAGTCTGTTTTTGAAGTCGCCGGAGCCACCGCCGTACCCGCCGGCAGGGAGCCTCCGTGGTGTTAGCCGGCACCAGAAAAAGCTCGCTTAAGCACCCCAAATCTCATAGCACCTACAACACAGCTGCTCGTCACGCGCAGCTGCTTCTGCCGCCTAAAGTCGCCGCACCGCCGCTCGCCGCCGGCGGTCAACCACCGACTACCCCTCCGCCTGGTCAGTCGCAGGGCGAGCCTCCACCAGCCATCCTGTTCGACCGCTGTGACCTGAGGACCTGCCGACTGGGAGTTTGATTTCCGCCATTAATGGTGTTTTTTAAGCTCAAAGGAAGTAAAATCTGAAGCTCAAAAGATCTCCCAACGAAACTACACCCTCTGGCCGGCCTTGCTCTGCCGTGACCACCATCTCCACCGACGGAAGGTGGCCGGCACGTGCAGCCTGCTGATGGGTTGGTAGAAGGCTGTTCCATCTGTCTGTCCTGAGAGGTACACTCCGCGTAAATGCCTTGGTCTGAAGCTGACCACGTCCGCAAGTTTTGGGACCAAGAATAGAAGGTTGGCTGCTTTGGAAGAGTTGACCAGCAGCTGGGTCTGCACAACATGATAAAAGGGAAGCAAATCTGGCTCTACATAGCCTCGTTACTGGCCGAGTCTTTAACTTGGAAGCTAAGTGCCACTTACTCCCTTTATTTAAGTATTCGAATAATGAAGCATGATTAAATATTGCAATTAATTTGTATCACCATTATTTATTAGGGATTGAAACTCCCGAAATTAAATAATGAGAGCGATGCTCTAAGTGATAGTTAGTTTTCGCCGTCATTTAAATTTAATGACTAATTGTTGTGGGCCCGTCGGCCCGCTCCTGATCGGCTTTAATTAGCGAACGGAGTATACTTGAATGGCCTTTGATAGGAAAATATCATTGCTATTACCTGTTACGCCACTACTATTTATTAGGGATAAAAATGCCCCGAATTAAATAATGTGGAGCGAAGCTCTAGTGATAGTTAGTTCGGCCAATATTTATCGAATATTTAATTTCTTGAGGGCCCGATGGCCCACTCTCAATCAGCTTGATTAAGCGATCCGAGCGTCTCCAGAAGGGCGATGCCCCGACGACGCATTTTAATTGGGGGGTTAAGCATTGGTCCGCACGACACCAAGTGCCCGAGCGACGATCGTACCCTAGTACCATCTGCGCCACTAGGCGAAGTGACTGTGCCAAACGCGGCCTGTGGGGCCCGAGGGCACCGAAGTGCTCAACCTCATTTTTTTTTGAGGGTAGTGCGACCAACTTGGGTCTGAATTTGAAAACTCACGGACCGGTGAATATTTCTATGTGACGTTCGGCGGGCTGCTAATTGGCCCCGCCGCGAGCTGCTACGTCCATTAACCCCGCACGATGAGCCGGGCCGAGGGTCACGATGACCCATAGGCCGGTAATCGTGGGTGTTAGAGGGAAGCCGCGATGACCCATGCAGATGGTTATGTGTGCATATTTATTGTCGGGCCGTGCGGCCCGTTACCATGCTTATTGCGCAGCTGAAGCCGCTCGACGCGCTCGAGCGAAATGATTAAAAGACGATCGGCCTACGCCTCAAAGACGTTCAGGGCCAGCCAAAGTGGAGACCATCACGACTGAGAGCCGATGGACGAGCATCTCTACCCAGAGGTCGAGGGCCTAGAAGAGACCACCACGGTTGAGAACCGTTGGACGAGCATCTCCACCCCAGAGACCGATGGCCTAGGAAGAACACCTAGAGGCCGAGGTCTAGAGGCGAATGCCATGACAGAGAATCGTGAGACGATCACCCGTCATTCAGAGGCCGAGGGCCTAGAAGAGATCATCACGGCCGAGGGCCGTCTGACGCCATCATTATATCACGACCGGCCTCTCGGACCGGCGTGATTATCATATTCGAAGACCGGCCTCGTCCCCGCCACCTCGCGGACGAGGACCGTTGCTTGACCATATCTTGATCGGCATCTCATGGCCGACGTTATCATACCACGACCGGCCCCTCGGCTCGGCGTGTTCATCTTTTGAAGACCGGCCTCGTCCCCACACCTCGCGGACGAGGACCGCTGCTTGTTTCTTTCAGGTTGGCCTATCATTGCCGACACCATTATATCACGACCGGCCTCCCGGCTCGGCGTGCTTTCCATGTTTGAAGACCGGCCTCGTCCCCGCCCTCGCGGACGAGGGCCGTTGCTTGATTCTTTCGGATCGGCCTCTCATTGCCGACACTGTCATATCATGTTCGGCCCCCCCGGCCCGGCGTGATTATCATCTTCGAAGACCGGCCTCATCCCCACATTGCGCGGGTGAGGACCGTTGCTGGATTTCAGGTCGGCCTGTCATTGCCGATGTCATCATTGTACCACGACCGGCCTCTCGGCTCGGCGTGCTTATCTTTTGAAGACCGGCCTCGTCCCCGCCCTCGCGGACGAGGACCGTTGCTTGATTTTCTCAGATCGGCCGCTCATTGCCGACACCATTATACCACGACCGGCCTCTCGGCGGCGTGCTTATCTTTTGAAGACCGGCCTCGTCCCCGCCACCTCGCGGACGAGGACCGTTGTTTGATTCTTTCAGGTCGGCCTCTCACTGCCGACACTATCATGTTATGCTCGGCCTCTCGGCACGACATATTTATCTTTTGAAGACCGGTTTCATCCCCGCGCTGCGTTGGATGAGAGCCGTTGCTCGGATATATCGGCCTGACCGGACACTATTGCCATCTCCATTATCAGGACCGACTGCTCAGCGACATTATGATCATTGTATATCGGCTTCCAATGCCGACCTTCTTGAGTTAGCGATCGGGCTCACCCCTCCCTTCATGAGGGTGACCATCGCCTTCGCATGACATTATGTGTGACATCACTTGTGGTTATTCTTGGAACCGACGAACGTATTTTCCTCCCTCAAAAAAAAAAAAAAAAAAAAAGAAAAAAAAAAGAAGAAAAGAAAAGAAAAAAAAAAGATGGGGAGAAGGGGAGACGAGATCCTATGAGAGAGGGAGTCTTGACGAGGTATGCCTGATCTTCCTTCGCCGCGTATGACGAACGTCTCCCGACGCGGAGGCTAGTAGGAACGTGGGGGGGCTAGACGTACCAAAGGGAACCTCGGCAAGATAAACCAGTTCCTCCCATGACCCGTGGTTCGATGAACACCTTCTGCTAAAGCAGAAGGCTAGTAGGGCCACGAGCATGGGACGACGAAGCAGGGAATCCCGACGTGGATAAACCAGTGACCTCCTTGCGATCGTTGGATGACCGAACGTCTTCTTCGAAACAAGAAGATTAGTAGGACCACGACAGGGACGAACGAAGAATAGGGAATCCCGACGTGGATAAACCTGTTCCTCCTTGCGATCGTGGGATGACCAAACGTCTTCTTCGAAGTAAGAAGATTAGTAGGACCACGACAAGGACGAACGAAGAATAGGGAATCCCGACGTGGATAAACCTGTTTCTTCTCATAGTTGGGATGACGAACGTCTCCTGCGAAACCAGGAGACCAGTACTCACGAGACTTGGGAAGAACGAAGAACCAGTTCTTTACCGGAGTCTGTTGCGTGCCGAGTGTAAACCGCTTAGCGGTCCATACATAGGACCACGGATACGGTAGACGAACGAAGACCAGCTCCATGGATCCGACATGAAGAACCAGTTCTTTACCGGAGTCTGTTGCGTGCCGAGTGTAAACCGCTTAGCGGTCAATACATAGGACCACGGATACGGTAGACGAACGAAGACCAGCTCCATGGATCCGACATGAAGGACCAGTTCTTTACCGGAGTCTGTTGTGTGCCGAGTGTACACCGCTTAGCGGTCCATACATAGGACCACGGATACGGTAGACGAACGAAGACCAGCTCCATGGATCCGACATGAAGAACCAGTTCTTATCGGAGTCTGTTGCGTGCCGAGTGTACACCGCATAGCGGTCCGTACATAGGACCACGGATACGGTAGACGAACGACGATCAGCTCCCCAGATCAGGTAGGAGGGACATCGCCCAGATTTATTTCAGGCTCACCATTCTTTCCCGGATGGAGTCCTGGCAGACGATCGGCTTCTCACAGCCAATCAGGAGAGAGACTTGACACATCACCAGCACGGCCGAGGGCCGCGAGACGATTATCACTCACCGACAGGCCGAGGGCCATGAGATGATCATCACTATTTTTCTGCATCACGATCGGCCCCTCAGCGCCATCGTGTCCAGACTCACGGTTCGGCTCGCCCATCCACTCCAGGATGGCGACGACCGTCTTGTGCAGTATGATCGGCCCCTCAGCGCCATCATACCCAGTTCACGGTTCGGCTCGCCCATTCCCTCCAGGATGGCGACGACCGTCTTATGCAGTACGACCGGCCCCTCAGCGCCATCGTACCCGGCTCACGTTCAGCTCGTCCATCCCTTCCAGGGTGGCGACGAACGTCTTATGCAGTATGATCGGCCCCTCAGCGCCATCATACCCAGCTCACGTTCAGCTCGCCCATCCCCTCCAGGATGGCGACGACCGTCTTGTGCATCACGATCGGCCCCTCAGCGCCATCGTGTCCAGTTCACGGTTCGGCTCGCCCATTCCCTCCAGGATGGCGACGACCGTCTTATGCAGTACGACCGGCCCCTCAGCGCCATCGTACCCGGCTCACGTTCAGCTCGTCCATCCCTTCCAGGGTGGCGACGAACGTCTTATGCAGTATGATCGGCCCCTCAGCGCCATCATACCCAGCTCACGTTCAGCTCGCCCATCCCCTCCAGGAGGGCGACGACCGTCTTGTGCATCACGATCGGCCCCCTCAGCGCCATCGTGTCCAGTTCACGGTTCGGCTCGCCCATTCCCTCCAGGATGGCGACGACCGTCTTATGCAGTACGACCGGCCCCTCAGCGCCATCGTACCCGGCTCACGTTCAGCTCGTCCATCCCTTCCAGGGTGGCGACGAACGTCTTATGCAGTATGATCGGCCCCTCAACGCCATCATACCCAGCTCACGTTCAGCTCGCCCATCCCCTCCAGGATGGCAACGACCGTCTTGTGCATCACGATCGGCCCCTCAGCGCCATTGTGTCCAGTTCACGGTTCGGCCCGCCCATTCCCTCCAGGATGGCGACGACCGTCTTGTGCAGTATGACCGGCCCCTCAGCGCCATCATACCCAGTTCACGGTTCGGCTCGCCCATTCCCTCCAGGATGGCGACGACCGTCTTATGCAGTATGATCGGCCCCTCAGCGCCATCGTACCCGGCTCACGTTCAGCTCGTCCATCCCTTCCAGGGTGGCGGCGAACGTCTTGTGCAGTATGATCGGCCCCTCAGCGCCATCATACCCAGTTCACGGTTCGGCTCGCCCATTCCCTCCGGGATGGCGACGACCGTCTTATGCAGCACGATCGGCCCCTCAGCGCCATCGTGTCTCTTTCACGTTCGGATCGCGCATCTCTTCCAGGATGGCGACGAACGTCTTATGCAGCACGATCGGCCCCTCAGCGCCATCGTGTCTCTTTCACGTTCGGATCGCGCATCCCTTCCAGGATGGCGACGAACGTCTTATGCAGTGCGATCGGCCCCTCAGCGCCATCGTACCTGGCTTCACGGTTCGGCTCGCACATTCTCTCCAGGATGGCGACGACCGTCTTATGTAGCACGATCGGCCCCCTCAGCGCCATCGTGTCTCCTTCGCGTTCGGATCGCGTATCTCTTCCAGGATGGCGACGAACGTCTTATGCAGTGCGATCGGCCCCTCAGCGCCATCGTACCTGGCTTCACGGTTCGGCTCGCACATTCCCTGCAGGATGACGACGACCGTCTTATGCAGCACGATCGGCCCCTCAGCGCCATCGTGTCTCTTTCACGTTCGGATCACGCATCCCCTCCAGGATGGCGACGAACGTCTCATATGCAGCACGATCAGCGCCCCAGCGCCATCGTGTCTGGCTCGTGTTCGGCTCGCCCATCCCTTCCAGGATGGCGACGAACATCTCTTATGCAGCATGATTGGCCCCTCGGCGGCATCATGTCTAGTCCACCTTCGGCTCCGCCCATGCCATCTCGGATGGGGGACCCGTCTTACGCAGCACGTCTGCTTCTCGGCGCTGACATGCCCGGGTTATCGATGAGAGCTACTGCTTCTATCACATCTTGCATTCCCTCTCTCATACATTACATACATACATTACATGCATACATACATTCATGCATCATACCTCATACATTCATACATACACACGTGCATCATGTTTTGACAGTACCGCGACGTCGGTTTATAGATGATGGACCTCTAAGCTTCTCCGATTGGAAAGCTCGAGTCAGAGTTCTTTACTCCCGCCTGATGCATTCAGGGGGAGTGTGCCCGTGGAGGAGCACCCTTCGCCCGACCCTGTCAAGAAGGGGGGTGCCTCACTGGTAGATTACGTTCAGGAGTGCAGACACTCACTCATATATGATGATTATGTGAAGACACAGTTTTCAGCAAGACAGAGTAAGAGCGCAGGCAGAGTATATTTTCTCGAGCAGATTCGCGAGCTCACTACTCAAGAAACTGGGGGACTTGTGTTGGGATATATTATCCCGGCCTATTACTGTTCATGAGTCCAAGGCTTTACGTAGTACGGAGCCCGAGCAGCTAGGCCCATTTCGGCCCATCCGGCCCACTTTAGCCATTTGGGCCCACTCCGGCCCATGCGGCCCATTAGGGTGGAGAGCATCCCCTTCCCCTATTCTCTATAAATATGGGAGTTTCCCTCCATATTAGGGATCCTTTTTCTTCTTCCTTTAGCTCTCTAGATTAGATAATACTCCATTAATGGGAGCTCAAATTGTACTATGTAATGGTGAGGAGAATCCTAATGAGAATGAGAGGGCTTGGACATAGGCTAAAAAGTCCCGTGGTTTTCTCCCTTTCCGGGTTTCCACGTAAAAATAGCTTGTTCATACACATTTATACATATATTTACTATATCGTGTTGGATTAAACTCAACAGTTGTCAATCATATCATTGAAACCTGCACTTTTTTAAATTGACTTATAACGTATTAAATGATCTCAATTAGAAGTCAAATATCGGTTGCAAGGTTAAAGTTAGTTTTCTGACTGTATTAACTATTTTTTCATATAATTTTTTCTTTATTTAATTAATAAAATATATTTTAAATATTTTTTCCATAAATCAGCAGAACCAATCAATCCAAGCACTTCAGCCAGCACTTCATAAATTTCAGCAGAATCAACCAATACAACAATTTAGATAATACCAAACGGGCTCGAAGTTTGTTTTTTTAATTATTTATATAAAAGTCATATAATAGATAGATTTATAAATTTGACGATAGTTTAGGATAAAATAAAGTAATAATCCTAGACAATATCATCATTGAGTGTATGAAGCCTTTCGCAATAATGGAAAGTTTAATGTGGAATTGAAATGACGATGTGTTATTCGGTCCTTTGCCAAATGGGGAGCTACCAAATTGAGTTCTCCATAATATTGAAACCAATTTTAGATCAAGTTGTGATGTTAACATCTTTATTTGGTCTTCCATTCTCTTTAGATATCATGGAGCGGCACCAACACTGGCAAATATTTTTCTGTAAAATATAAAAGAGTAATTTATCTTATTTTGAAAAAGGCTTGAATTGTATAAGAATTTCAATAATTGAAGTATAGCGGGGACCTGGAAAAAATTGCTAATTTGTTTTGGTGGAACCTTCTTAATTATAAAAAAAATTATACCACCTCCCTCTATTAACATTTAGAAATAAGGAGGTGGTGCAATTATTATGAAAAGTGAGTTATGTGATTAATATTGAATTCATAAAGTATGAATAAAATAAAAATGATTTTGAATCACACAAATTTTATCAATTCCTTTTTATATATGTGACGATCTTAGCGGACAGAGAGAGTATTTAAAATATATTTTATAAATAAAAAAATGAAAAAATATATGAATTGAAAATAGTTAAAATGGTCATGTGCAGTAAATTCACTCAATTCAACGAGAAAAGTAACTCCAAATAACCTTAAGTATTTTTATTATGGAGTATAATACAATTCAACACAAAAATTTAAAAGTTACGTGTTTAGGCTCTCAATTTTCTGATTCTATGATTATAAAAACTTATTAAAATATCTGATTTTAAATTTTCAAAAATTCAACTTTTCATTTGTTAATTGATTATTTAGAACAATAAAATCTTTCGTTACTCGATCTACCAAGGTGATGTGAGAATAACTAAGAAAAAAAATTGGGGTACACACTTTTTGTACACAAAAAGTGTACACTCGTCTGTCTCCCACAGACAAATTGTCTGTCGCGAGATGAGCTGTCTGTCCCACAGACAACTCATCTCGTGACAGACAATTTGTCTGTGGGAGACAGACGAGTGTACACTTTTTGTGTACAAAAAGTGTGTACCCCTAGCAGGCCTTGATTTTATTTCAGAAAGTATCTTATACTTCACAAAGACTATAAAATTACGTACATTTGCTTTAAATCATATATTTTAAGTTTGATTTTTCAGAAACTCAATTTTATAGATTTTTTGATTGCATAATCTGCTTAAAGTTTGAGATTTGGGGGAAATGGCTATATAGTCTTAAAAAAAAGGCCACTTGAAGTTAGTAGCCTCTATTTAATATAATTAAATAAATAGCATTTTTGTTTTTAATATGAAGCCCGTAAAATTCAAGAAACCGTTTCAAACCTTTCATTTGTAGTTGTGGTTACAAATATAAACCCTTACAAGTATATTTGCAGGTTGCCTCCGTCAAAACAAGAATTTGGGAGAAGTAGGAGGAGTATTATGGCAGAATTTTTAAAACATTTTGTTTTAATTGTATCATTATTTGACATGATGGTTGTTATCGTTGATTGAGCATAAGATTAGAGTAATGGATTATATGAATGTGAGATGGAGAAATGTTAACTCTTAGATGGAACAATTCCAGAAGTTGGAATTTAAGAATTTGTCCATAGAGACGTAACCATTTATTATGATTCTGCTATAATTAAGGTTAACGGTGAACAAGGAAACTGCAATATAGTTATAATCGACATATAGTGTATCGATGGATTTTGATAAAGGCTATCTATCTTATTTTTGCTAATCCATGATATGAACTTAACCGAACATATTTAATTGCGTCTATATGCCCAATTTTCTCTTTACGTTTCAAAAACTCAATTTTTTTTTATGTTACTAATGATTCTTTGAAATCATAAAATCTTTCATTGCAATTTGATTTCAATACATACTTCAATTTACAAGTGAAAATTTTGATTTGTCATCTATAAGCTTTATGCCATCATGTATTCAATCATTAACTTTGAATTTGTTTCAAACGACGGATCTTATTCAGTTAGACAGCTACGCCACATAAATATAACTTAAGTTTTCATATGTTTCCCTTCATGAGATTGAAGTCAATTAGAACATTCCATATTTTTAGTTTTGTTTTCCTTAATGTACTAACAAGTATTATAACAATATCAACAATCACATACTTCTTCTTATCCTGAAGGAACAAATAAAGATCATCTAAGTTTTGACTTCACCCTATCGTCAAACGAGGATTGTGAACTAGAGAGTGCGTAATTTACAAGTGAGTTTCTTAACGATATAAAGTGCTCATGTAATATGAATCATAAATTACATAAAAGTTGAATTTTAGTTGCCCATTTTCAAACGGTTAAAGTATCCTATGCTCCAAAAATGTAATTTAAATATCCATTTAATAAATTTACTTGATACATGTTAACTATTATAAAAAAAACACATATGAAGAACATACAATTTGCAAAGAAATATACAAAATCAACATCACATTATTATTCTTGAACAGTTTCGAACAAAAATGCATCTATACTTTGTAATGAATGAACTATAAATTACACATTATGGATATTTTTAATTGGATAAACATTAATTTTTTTACCAAATTGAATCATCATATTTTAATAGACTAAATCGAATCAGATTTAGATAGTAATAAAATTCACATGCATCATACATTTACCATATTGACCGGGATAGACTTATTAAACATACGATCATACCACAACATTTATATCTAATTAAAAACATTCATAACATAGTCAATATATCCTAATTAAAAAAGGGATTGAAAAGTAAAATGGCTTATATCAATGAGCACATTAAACAAATCACATATAAATATAGTCATGCCCTAAAACTTAAATATTCTTTTATCCCGTGCACGGTACGGGTCAAAATACTAGATTTTTTAAATTTTAGTGTCAAAGTGGAGAACATTAAGAGAGTGGTGTAAATGATAATAAAATTATGTCTAAGTGTGTCTAAACCCTAAACCCAAAAATTAGCTTAATGTCATATTTGTTTTAGAGGTTTACTTTAGTAATCTAATTGGTCCGTGCATAAAATGTGTGTATTACTGTAATTACATTGTACAAAGTGCTCTAAATACATTGTATTTATACTACTTTTGTCTGTGTAACGAAATGTAAAAACAAAACAGAGCATAAAATAAAAATAAAGACACTTCTCTATCACTCCTTCCTCTCGTGAAAAAGAATAAAATATGGTTCGTACTCCATGTCTCCATTTATGAGTATCAGCTCAGCGCTCAATCTATATGCACGGATATCAATTTAGACTGCAATGTCTTGACTCCCTCAATGATTTGAAGCTAGTTCGGCAATGCCGGAGCTAGGGTTTCATGATCAGATTTCGGGCCTCCTGGCCAGGGATGTAAGTCCGGACTCCGCCATCTTCACAGCCGACTCCAACTTGAGCATATTCTCATCTGCTTCAGCTAGTGTAGACCGCTGTTCCTTCGCATCTGATGCTCACGACCACGAAGATTCATGCTTCTCTGATACTTCTCAGCCTGTAATTACACATACTATCTCATTTCATTGACTAACTAATTGCACACTTGTATGTGTATTTTGCTGTTCTCTAGCCAATGCAAGTAAAATTTGCTCTTATGAGCTCGATTTGAAGTCACAATCAGATTTAAGCTAACTCAATTCGTAATCCCTTCTGGATCTGGTTCATCATACTTTATTTTAGCCTGTTTAATCGAAATGTGCTCTCTATGTTTACACTCTCCCTCTCTCTCTATCACACACACACACCATAGTCCATAGACTTGCATGTTCGTATCTGTTTACTTTTATGTGCGAAGTGATTACACATCTCAGCTCGTTTTTTCTATGAAAAGCGCAATTAGGAGTAAATAAGAGACTTATATACGGAAATGGACATGGATTTTGTTGTCTGCTGACTTTAATAGCGAGAAGACAAGTCGACTTAAAATGTAAATGATGACTCTGAAAGTTCTGCTCGTTCGAAGAATTTGAATCTTTATTTGAACCAGCATTTTGCAGGACATGAGCTCCAGGAGGTTTCACGTTGTCCATACAGAATAGGCCACAATGCTCACCATAGCAGAAAAGAAATGGCAAAAGGTATCTTGCTTCTATTATACAGTATTAGCATGCTTTCATATTGGAAGGCCAGAAGAGCATGCCATATACTTTTTTTTTTATTGATTTGGAATATTTGATGACTTGGGAGCCATTATTTTCCAGTTCAGGTAGCAGAAAACAGTGAGATTAAGAGAGAGGATGAAAATATAGCTTTAGATTCTGCAAGAAACTCATTCTCTCAAGCTCTTAAGGGTACTGCCACACATTACTTTAGATGGAATTCTAGAACTGGAGCTCTTCTAACGCCTTTTTCTTATTTTCAAATTGTTAGAGTGTCAAGATAGAAGGTTTAAATCTGGAGCTCTACTCAACAAACCAGACAGGCGAAGGCATGCCTCACTAGACATGAACACCTCTATGACCAATGCTGCAAACTCCTCCTCTCCAAGATTTGGAGTTATGAAAAAGGCATTCATAACTACTCCCAGAGCTGGTGTATTCCCTAGTCCCAATACTCCCAACTATCGTTATTCGAGTGTGGGCATTCAGAAAGGATGGAGTTCAGAGCGGATCCCATTGCACTCCAGTGCTCATAGGATGCAATTGAACAATGTGTTACTTCCTTATTATAGTGGAAGGACCGTACCTTCCAAGTGGGACGATGCGGAGAGGTGGATTTTTAGTCCTTTATCTGGAGACGGTGCAACATGGACTTCATTTCAGCAGCCACAAAGGAGGCCTAAATCCAAAAGTGGACCCCTCGGCCCTCCCGGGGCTACATACTCTTCATCATCATATTCTCCAGGACTACCTTTATCAAAAGGAGAAAACAACATAAATTTACTAGCCAACTCTCCGTTTTCCACCCAAGTAGTGCCCACAAATAGTTTATCTATTCACTGTGGAAGTCGTGGAATTGGTGACAACTTTGCTGTGTGCACAGAGCCATGCATGGCAAGGTCAGTTAGTATTCATGGATTCTCTGAACTACTCAGCCTATCATCATTGCCAGCGGTCCAAGGTAAAACTTACCTTCTCGTAGTTGGTTTTGGAGCTTGCAGTGTTTAAACTAAAGTGCATGAACTTATTCTAATCTGTTTTATATTAATTCTTTTGCTGCTTCCCTTTCATCACATGTTTGAAAATGGTGCATTCTTTTGTATGCTTTGCCTAAACGATATATGAAGACAATCAATCTACTATTGTAAGAATTAAGGCTCATAGAAACAGCTTATCAAAAGCTATATGCAGAATAAATAACTTGAGCACAACCTCAGATGTTAGTTGCGATAGGCTGCATCCATGCTTAAATCCATCGTGCACAACTAGAGATAGATGTATCAACAGGATAGGAGTTTATCTAGGCTCTATTATCTTGAATTGTATTTTGGAATTTAGTCAACTAATAAACATTGAAAGATTGACATGATATGCGGCTGTATAAACTTTAAATTGGTTTCGAAACATCCTATTTATTACTCCCTCCATTTCACTTTAGTTGTCCCACTTTCCTTTTTAGGACTTATCAAATTAATTGTCCCATTTCTCTTTCTGGAAAGAAACTCACCCTAAAAGCAGCTATAGTAGCGTTGCAATAATCCTACAGTACCAAAAACCTCTTACTTTTTATAAAGTGTTCGATAGTTATCTTAAATTACGTGCAAAACCAAATGGGACATCTAACGTGATACGGATGGAGTAATATATACTCAGCCCTCCAAAGCCATACCTTCCAAAGTCTGAAGCCATTTAAAACTCTTTATCTAAACTGACCATTGGAGGGTTCTATATCATGATAGATAGAATATTTCTAAAAATGAATGACACGTGATTGAAATGTAAATATTTCAATTTCTATGTAATCTAAAATATCAATTAAGATGCAGGCTAAGCCTTTCAAAATTACCGCCCCCCCCCTAAATCCTTATCAGAATAGAAAAGGTATAATGACTATGTTTGGATGATACATAGATGAGGGAAACAACTACAATGATAATGCAGCCAGCAACACGTCCCTTGATGTTTCAAGGAGGGATATGGCAACTCAGATGAGCTCAGACTCTAGCCCCCAATCATCTGTTTCCCCGCCAATTGTGGACGTGCCCAGTGTCCATTCATCTAAAGCAGAAGTCTGTGATGTTACTGATGTCCCTGTTGAGGAAAGGGTTACTGTGACAAGGTGGTCAAAGAAACACAAGGCTCGAATCCCTAGGAGGAGGCGGGGAAGTGCCAATGAATGGAGAAGTAAAGCTGTAGTAGAGCTATGGTCTGAAGCTCCAGAAACGACAGAGTCTACTTCCAAGTAAGTTACAATCAACTTTGCTAAATCGGCAGTGATCTTTTTCTTGATAGTTAATCAAAAGATTATTATTTGAGCACACAAAGGATTATCAGTAGTTTTGAATCTTGATATTATTCACCCTTGGGCTTTGGGTGGCTTTTCCATTGTCAGAGCCCTTTTGGTAGCCACCAATTATGATTTATCAGCCTTATCAAGCAGGTTATGTCATAAAAAAACTAGTGCAAGAGTTAACTGTGTTCTTATTGCAATGGACAAAATTGATACTTTACGTTAGAGAACACTATATATATATATTCCTGAACTTTTTTTAAACAATTAATCACAAATAAGGCCTCTAACTATTAGCTGTTCTAATTAAGAGAAAGGGTCAAATAAAGCCTCTAACTATTAGCTTTTCTGCAACTAGGTCTTGAACCGGATGACCGTACAAATAACCGCCCAAACCAATGAAAAAAAAAACAGAGTGAGCTCCTTTTACCCGCTGGTGCCGATAATGCAGCAATTGAGCTCCTTTAACCCGCTTGTGCCAGTAAGATGTTATCAGCAGGGTCTCCAATGGCTAATAGTTTAATATTTAACCCTTTTCTCAAAAACTAATATACTACTAATAAAAAAGAGTTGTATAGAAAAAAGGATATGACTGGTATATATTTTGTTTTTGAGACAAGTGTTATGTGTTCCGAATTTGCATTTTTTGTATTTAATTGTTGCGAAAAAGTGTAGGGGCATACATGTTTCTTAGTGCATATTGGAATTTTATCAATCCAAGACCTGAATGATAAGTTAACTACCTATAGAGAACCTGAAAGATGGAAATTGTCGATATAGGGTCTGAAAAATTGAAAACTATAACTCCAAGAATTAAAATATCACGATTATCCATCTTCCATCCCTGCATTTCCGTTGAATGCAAACCCTGTTTGTTTCACATTGATGCAATACAGGATTAAGAGAGAGGAGAGCAGAATAGCTGCATGGGAGAACCTTCAGAAGGAAAAAGCTGAGGCAGCAATCCGGAACCTTGAGGTAATTTAATATTGTGTAGCATAATAAGTCTAGTATTAAGTTAGTAACACCAGAGAAGCTCCGTATACCCACCTACCTTTGTTGTTTAAAAGTAATACTCTTCTGTGTTTAAGAATACAGCTTTTTAGTGACCATCTGTGTAAGGGAGGGTTATTTGCCTGAAGCGATGGTTGAAGCATCCGATTGTTTTGAAAAGCGCTTGGTACCATCCACTTAAGCCTAATAAAAGTAGTTCAAAGGTAATTAGCTTATTTGCTGATAACTAGAATAAGCAACACCAGATATATAAGCCTACCTTCGTTGAATGCTTGCGATTGCAGGGCTACAGCCTACAATATAATGGTTTTTAGTCTGTCAGCCTTTATCTGTTAGGTCATGAGTTCAAGTCTTGGAGATTTTTTTTAAATATTAGAAAATATTGCTGATAAGAAGTATATTTATATATTCTTAAGCTCTCTCTGTCCAGGAATAAAATTACAGAGAAATGAGGATGACCCTCATAGTTTAGTTTCTTCAGTTCATGCATATCTATCTCCTGAATTGAATTGGCGCTTATATTATCTCCAAATAAATCTAACTAGAACACATATTATTCAGATGAAACTGGAGAAAAAGAGATCATCGTCAATGGATAAGATCATGAACAAATTGAGATCTGCACAGAAAAAGGCACAGGAAATGAGAAGCTCAATGTTGGCAAGTCAGGATCGTGGCACTCAAATAAACTCCCAAAGAGCATTATCCTTTCGCAGGAGTCACCAAATCAGCTCCTTTAGTGGCTGTTTTACGTGCCATGCGTTTTAGTTCTGAGGCCCATTACTGAATTCCTAATTGAAGACTTGACTAGGTCAGTCTCTTTTTATATTGTGGGTGATGAGGTGATCTGTAAACATTTAAGGGTTTAGTTGTCTTCATATATGATATCTTACCGTTTCTGTCACTTTGCCACGGATGATAATGTAAACAATGTAATTGGTAGTTGATTTCCAGTTTTATCTGTTAACGTGTTTGGTTGATTGGTAATTAATTTCCAATATCTTCTAAACTATAGCCTAATTTATAGGGATGCATTTTTTGGATCTAGAATCGGACAAGGCCCAGTCCATTCTTTACCCGGCCCAGGGCTCATTTTTCGACTCCAACCGGGAACCAATCCCACCCTGGTCGGTTCATAGTTAAAAATTTAAAAATTAAAATGCAGTAGACTGGCTGGTCCTGTTCCCTTCATAGTTTATTTTGTTTTTGAATTTTAATGTTATTAGACTGTATACCCTTGCATTCAGCAACAGTGGGCAGTGGCCTTTGGTGGGGAATTACTAGTTTACTACGCACTCCATCCGTCCCTTAATTATCTTCAAACTTTCCTTTTTCGTCCGTCCCAAAATTATCTTCACTTTCCCCTATTGGCAAAGAATTTGTGGTTCACAACCATTCTTATACATTTCTTTCTCCTCTGCCCAACTCTCCACCACACAAATCTCACTATCTTAATCTCCGTGCCGGGTCCAATGAGGAGATAAAACAGGGACGAAGGGAGTATTTCTTTTCACAGGAACTGGGAAGTGGCAACAATATGGCAATAGGTATATCATATATGTGAAAAGATTCTAATACTAACCCCTCAGTTCTCAAAAGAATGATGCTGTCGTGATTTATCATTTTACTAGTACCTTTACCCGTGCCGTGCACGGGTTAAAATGATTTTGCTTTTGATTTTACTAATGGAAAATCACTAATTTAGTCGATTATAACGAAATTGAGTAGTCTTATTTTTGAAGTAACTATCTAAATATGTTTGCACTCTAATTTATTGAGTAGTCTTATTTTTGAAGTAACTATCTAAATATGTTTGCACTCTATATTTTTCAATGAAAATAACATTTTTTGTAACTCTACATTCAAACGAAATTAATCTTTTTAAATATATTTTCCTAAACAAAAAAGAAAATGCTTAATTAATGTCTATTTTTTCCACTAAATTTCATTTGTGGCTTCCCAATTTTTCAAAACTAACTACACGTTTATGTAATTTACTTATCTAAAAGTGAGTGTAAAAAGATTTAGTGTCTATTTTTCTTTTTTGTTTAGGAAAATAAATTTAAAAAGATTAATTTCGTTTGAATGTAGAGTTACAAAAAATGTTATTTTCATTGAAAAATATAGAGTTTTTGTAATGGCTTCACATTTGTGTCTATTTTCTTTTTTGTTTAGGAAAATATATTTAAAAAGATTAATTTCGTGTAGTTAGTTTTGAAAAAAATGGGAAGCCCCAAATGAAATTTAGTGGAAAAAATAGATATTAATTTTGAAATGTCTAATGTCTAATTTAAAAGTTATTACTGAACTAAAGACTATTGTCTGGAGCTAAATTTTGAAATGTTGCATCTAAACTATTAGTTGAATGAGGTAAATTTGTTTGAAAAAAGAGCTAAAAATGCCCAGATAATATGACCTAAGAGGATCAATGAAATCAAATCAAATCAGATCAGATTCGATAAGAATAGACAAATAAGGAAAATTATTTTGTTTAAGTTATCAGCCCTGCTAGGTTTTAGAATTTTGTAAATTAGCCCTTCAATCACTTTCTAAGATTTATTTTCATAGATTTATTTTGAAAATTAGAATCACTTGGAAATTTATTTTGCAAATTTTGCGAATTTATTTGGCCTCAATTTTTCTTAGATTTATTTTGCAAACTTTGCAAATTCATGGCTTCAATGGTATTAAGATTCACTTTCTCAATTAGATCGTTATCAAGAAATTAGTTTTGAGGTTATTTGTATAATTTATGTAGTCCATTTTTGAATTTTAATACCAAATCATGTGTCGTCATCTCAAATTTGATTATAAATAAAAACTTACTGATAAATATTATTAAAATATGAATGACTAACTAATAGTTTAATTATGTATGCATGTCTCACTTCCTCTAATTATGATTAACTACATAATAAGCTAATTAATTTCAAAGTTTACTCATGAATAACTTCCAGGAGATTTATAGAATTCTAATCTAATATGAGGTTCTAAATTTTAAGGAGGACTCAATTACAAATGTTTTTAATTGGGCTGATTTTTTTTCTCCTTATTTCTCTATTCTGATCGAATCTGGTCTGATTTGATTTGATTTCATTGATCCTCTTAGGTCATATTATCTGGGCATTTTTAGCTCTTTTTTTCAAACAAATTTACCTCATTCAACTAATAGTTTAGATGCAACATTTCAAAATTTAGTTCCAGACAATAGTCTTTAGTTCAACAATAACTTTTAAATTAGACATTAGGCTTCACCTACAACTCGAAATGCTAAACATAGTCTTAACCTATGAGCCCGTTTGGCAACCCTCGTTCTCAGCTAATTACCCAAGTTTTTATACTAAAAAAATAGTTTTGACTTCACACATTGAATTGAGAAATTATCATAATAATTCAAGTTGGGATAATTTTTTAGCTAAATCGGTTAAGTCAAAACAAGGAATCCTCCCTAATATGTTTTGATTTAAAACAAGGAATCCTTCAAAACATGTTTTCTGGCTAAATCGGTTTAGTCAAAACAAGGATTCCTTGATTTAATCTTATGTGATTTGATTTAATCTTATCTGGTTAAGTCATATTATTTGGGCATTTTAGCTCTTTTTGTCAAACAGATTTACCTCATTCAAGTAACATTCAGCACCAGACAATAGTCTTGAGTTCACACAATAAGCCTTAATTCAAATATTAGCTTCCTCCTACATATCCAAGTGTCAAACATAATCCTAATATATGAGTCCTTGTTTTCAGCTTATCGACAAATATTTTTACCAATTGTGTTGTTTTAACTTCGCACGCTGAACTGAGAAATAATCAAATTAATTCAAGTTGGAGTAATTCTCTGGTGTGTTCGATTAAAATTTATCAAGTGTTCTATGCATTATTTATGTAAAATTTTCTCAATGTCTATAGATGAGACATTATCATACCAGATCAGGTCAGATCAGGTCAAATCAGATCAGACAAAAAAAGTTTAGTTGAATTAAAAACATCTTCAAAGAAGTCCTCCCTAGAATCGAACTCTATATCGGATTAGAATAAATCTCCCGAAATAGTCTACACATTCTATTCATATAGAGTTCGAAATTTTAGGGAGGACTCCTTTAAAGATGTTTTAAATTGAACTGAACTTTTTTGTTCTAATCTAATTTGATCCGATCTGACCTGATGTAGTATGATAAATGTCTCATCTATAGACATTGAGAAAATTTTACATAAATAATGCATAGAACTTTTGATGAATTTTATTCGAACACCCCAATATATCCATAATTCATAATTGTATTTCTAAAATTTTATTTTTATGTAACGAAGAAATTGAAGGATGCTTTAAGAAGTTTTTTTAGTTACGTAGTATATTGTTTTTAGGATATAGAAATCATGTAGAATTTTAAGATAGTAGCCTTGTCCTTAACTAACGTAACAGGAAATCATGAATTGATGAATCCTACACTAACTTAAATTCTAACCCATGTAACATTGTATAATTAATATTAATATACTAAATTAGAAAGAGAGTCTAAAACATCATAATCAAAATTTGCTTAGAAGATGACACGTGGCATAAACTTTCCATAATTGTATCTTTAAAATGTATTATCTATAGATAGATATACTAAATTAGAAAGAGAGTCTAAAACATCATAATCAAAATTTGCTTAGAAGATGACACGTGACATAAACTTTCTATAATTGAATCTTTGAAATGTATTATCTATAGATAGATGTAATTTCGTATTCAACCTTTTATGGTATTTAGAGTTTAGACCGGTAAATGTTGCCATGTAATCAAGATTAGGGTTGGGCTAGGACAAGTCTGGGCCGGGACTGAGCGGGCTCCAGGCCCAAAAACCTCAAGCCTTAAATATATTTTATTTTAATTGTCTTTTCGAATTATTCCAACCCCCGCCCCCCAAACCGCCTAGCCCCACTCACCCAACAACTAGGCATGGACCGGTACCAAGCCTGGTCGGGCCGGTCCAAACCGGGACAAAATTTGTTGGGGTAAGCCCCGGTACCTGTCCGGGATTCTATCGGGACCGGGTCGGGCCGGTTCTTCTAATTTTTTAGCTTTTCTTATTTATTCTAACCCCCACCCCCAAACCCCGACAAAACACTCAGTCCAGCCCACCTACCATAGGCCAGGCCGGTTACCAATTTTTTGCACCCAGAGCCCGCCCTGAAAACCCTCCTTGCTGGGCAGGTTGACCCGGCCCTGGTCCATCCCTACCAGCAACCATCCCAACGGAAAAAAATAAAATAATAATTAGGCCCGTCCTGGGCCTTGCTTGGCCGGTCTGCGAAATGTTGATCCCGTAGCCTGCCTAATGAATTCCCCGGGTTGGGCCCCAATCCCGATCCCGGCTCATCGGGTCAGATCGGGCCTGCACAGTACAGACCGCGCCGAGTGGCCCGAGTCCACCGCTAGTCAAGATGATTCTTGTTTAAGCTTCTATTTTTGACAAAATTGCTACATGAAATCCATAGATTTATATAAATCATTGCAATTTATTCATAAAAAATATATGAATTTAAAAGTATAGACTTTTTTTTAGAATTGATGAGTAAAAAAGTCAATTACAACCCGTTCACATAAATTACAAGTAGGCATAATTTTATGAAGAAGGTTTGCACTTTGCACCACAAATATTGAAAGATATTGGGAGGATCTCTCTATTTTTTTTTTCTATTTTTTTTATTGGGAGGATCTCTACAAATGTGGATGTCTTGACTTTATTTCTATGGATTTGTCTGAACTTTATTTCTATTCAAAGAATCTTCTTTAAAAAAATCTTCTTTTAAAGAATCTTCTTTTAATTTATATGCAACCTTCTAATTTCATATTATGTCCATATATACATAGTGTGAGTTAGTTGACTCGAAAACGCAAAAATTCGGAGCAATACAATAATTTTACAACGTATATATCATTCTCTGATTTCTCACACATTATAATTATTTACTTAATATTAAATCTTCTATAAGTTTTCATATATGGAAAATGAATTCGAATATT